AATTGAATTGACCACAAATTGCATTGCTGGATTCCAACTTAAGAAAAATAATCCTTTATTTTGAGTGTCATTAACACCAGCTGGAAGTTTTAACTGTTGAAAAGAAACTGCTTTTCTCTAAATGGTTGTTTTAGTTAATTTCTCCATGTCATTTGTAATCAATTCGTCTGTTTGTCTATTTTTAAAGGGAAGATTAAGCTGTTCCTTTGTTCCTTGCATTCCTTTAATGTATTGTACACACTGTTTGGTGATAGCCTGCATGAATATTGCTTTTTTCATTATGACATTTTGCTGTTCATTCATTCATTTATTTACAGTCCTGGACCTTCCTAATGGCATATTCTAAAGCAAAGTTGAAAAGGAGTGGCGATAAAGCTTTTCCATGTTTTAGACCATTCTGGATAGGAAATTTATTGGACGAACGTATACCTATATGGACTTTACTATACGTTTCATTTAAACACATTTTAATCAGCCTAACTAGTTTCATAGGTATCCCAAACTCTATCAGAATATTGTACAATACATCCCTCTTAACTGAATCATAGGCTTTCCTGAAGTCAATGAATAGCTGATGCACTGTCTCATTGTACTCCCATTTTTTTTTTCTCCAATATCTGATGAATGCAAAAAATCTGATCTGTAGTTATTCTGTTATGTCCAAACCCACACTGATGATCCCCAATAATTTCATCTATGCATGGACTTAACCTTGAGGGAAGAATATTGGATAAAATTTTGTATGAAGTTGATAGCAGTGATATCTCCCAATAATTACTACAGCCAGTTTTATCATCCTTCTTGTGAACTGGTACAATAATAGACTCCTTCCACTGATCAGGTAATTTTTCCTTACGCCAAACAGAATTAATTAACTTGTGGTTCCTAGAACGTAATATTTTGTCTCCTGCTTGAATAAATTCTGCCGGAATTTGATCACTACCTGTTGATTTATACCATTTCAATTTTGCAATAGCACTTTCAACCTCATGAGGGCTAGGATCAGGTACTAATGGCTCTTCTGTATGGCTTTCTGTTTGCCTAACATCACTGACACTATGTACATTCAATAACTGAGAGAAGTAATTCCTCCACCTATTCAAAATGTTGTGGAAATCTATAAGCAGACCACTGTTCTCATCAGTAAGTTACTGCTAGGTTGGTAACCCTTCTTAAAGTCATTTATTCCTCTATACAGGTCTCTAATGTTCATGTTCTTACTCTTCATTTCAAGCTCATCAATTTTGTCTTTCAGATATCCCCTCTTTTTATTCCTAAAATGCCTGCTGGTTTCACATCTTATATTATTCAGATTATCCCCATTTATTTAAGGCCGTGCCATAGCTCAAGTGGTTAGTTGTTGGCTTCCCACAGCAGCGGCCATCCTGGGTCTGGTCAAGCGGGATTTGTGGTGGACACAGTGACGCTGTGGCGGGTTTACTCCGAGTACTTCGGTTTCCCCTGCTAGTCTTCATTCCACCAAATTCTCCATCATCATAATCACCCGGGCAGGCTACAATAGGCAAATCAGTGGCCGCCGTGCTGAGTGGACCTAGTTGGACTCTACCCCCCACTAAGCAAATCCCCGTTTATTTTACTTGGATCCTGTAACCATTGCAATTTGGCTTGTTTTCTTTGGTCTAATAATTTTGAGCGTCCTTCATCGAACCATGGCTTATGCTTATTCAGTTCATAATAACCTAGACTCTCCNTATATATATATGCCTTAAACAAGGCTACAATAATCAAACAAGAATATGGTCCTAGCCATATAGCGTAAATAGCCCAAAATCATTAATTAATACTGAAATTAAAATATTCTGCCAATGTGTAAAATGAATTTAGAAGAAGAAATCGTTTTAAAGCAAATCTAAATTCTTTTGTGTCATGAGGTAAGTTCTGTATACTAGATGGAAGATTATTAAAAATCTTAATTCCAAAATATTACATATTGGATAATGGAAGTTGTTATTATATCTTGTATTAATGCTATGAATCTCAGTGTTGAATTTAAATTGTTCTATGTTTTTAACCACATTCAGTAAAAGAGAAAATACATATATACTGTTACTGGAGGGGCAAAATTTTCAGTCTCTTATACAATTCCCTACAAGAGTCTCTACTTGTAGAATTAGTAATAATTCTACTTACTCTTTTCTGTAGCCTAAAAATATGAACACCATGGGGAGAATTGTCCCAGAAAATTGTACCATAAGTCATAACAGTGAAAATATGAAAAATTATTCTTATTGTTTCCTGTAACATATAATGTTTAACAGCCTTGATTGCATAACAGGATAAACATAATTTGGACACAAGCCAGTCGACATGTCCTTTCCATGACAACATATTGTCCATAATGAAGCCAAGAAATTTGGTATTAGTAAATTTAGCAATATGATTGTTACCATAGTCAATATGCATATCCATTGCATAGCTGTTCATAGTAAAAAAATTGTACAAAAATGTTTTATCAAAGTGTAGTGTCAATAAATTAGCTTTAAACCAATCATTTGTGTTTTTAAATATTTGAACAATTGTTTTTTCATAATCAATAGGGCTGGAAGTTGTAATAATTATGTTGCTATCACCTGCCAAAAGAACCGGTTTAGATTTACTAATTATAATGTTAGGCAAATCATTTATATGTGAAGGAAACAATATAGGTCTCAGAATCGATCCCTGAGGAATGCCATTATTCACTTTGCCCATCGGGAATGAATGTGCCAGTTATTAATTACAACTCTCTGGTTTCTATCTTTGAGATAGGATTTTACAAAAGCATTGTCCTTACCAACTGTTCCATAAAATTCCAGTTTAGATAATAAAATATTATAATTGACAGAGTCAAAAGCTTTCTTCAAATCACAGAAAATACAACCAACTAATATTTTGTTATTCAGCGCATTTAATATTTCATTAATTAATCTATACAGGGCTGTTTCTGTAGATGAATTACTCCTAAAACCATATTGTTCATTTACAAATATATTGTTACTTCTTATATGTTTGTGCAGTCTTTGCATATATAACCTTTTCAACAACTTTTGAAAAGGATGTTACTAATGAAATAGGTCTGTAGTTAGTCATATTAGTTTTATCTCCATTTTTAAATAGTGGTTTTATTTCTGAATATTTCAAATGACTGGGGAACACACCAGTTGTAAGAGATCTGTTACAAATATGAGTTAATGGAGAGCTAATGAAAGGCACACTGATTTTTAGAATTCTGACTGAAATTTCATCACACTCATTGGAAATTTTTTATTTTATAAAGACTTAATTATCTTTTCAGTTTCTTTAGTAGAGGTATAGTTGAATTTAATTTTAGGGAAGGGGGGTGTGAAAGCTTAAGACAGATAATTCAAATAATTGTCAGTATCAGACTATAATATGTCCAACATTTGTGATTTGGAATTGATTTTGTCAGGTATAATTAGAAAATAGTAATTAAAGAATCTGTAATCATATAATGGTTATCAATTAATTTTCCGTCAACATTTAAGGCGTGCATTATTAATTGTTCTGCCTGTTAGGATTGCCGTTCAGTGAAGTCTTGTGCAAATTTTAAATGAGCTTGAGTTGAAATGTGGTTGTCTTCATATTGTGAGTACTTTCCTGCTTTGCTCCTAGAAAAACACTCCTATGTATTTATTGCATGTGAACTTGAGTGCCAGTCTGGATATTGTGGCAGAGAATATTCCCTAATTTTTATGAATTGAATCCTTGGCATGTAGTCTGTAGCTAGGCATTTTATTGCATATTATCATCCTTTATAGTTAAATTTTTAAGAGATATGTGTTATGTGTATAAAATTAGTGACATTATTCATAGTTTAAAGAATGCACTACGTTAGTTGAAAGTGGATTTTTCTTGCATGTTTGCCGTCAACTTTAATGCATGCATTGATGTGGATAATTATGTTATTGTATGTTTGTATAATTTTTTTAGTGTGTTTCATTAAGTTGACATTTAGCATTACACTTTTGGAAGAACCTTGTAACAATGCAATGGATGCACTTAATCATGTTCCAGTTAATGCCATTTTGGAAGTAATGTATAATGTTTCTCATTTAGGTTGAAGCTGTTTTTAGAACAATTCAGAATTCCAACATGCGTTCTTAACTCTGAGCTTCCAGCTGCCATACGTTGCTTATCTGTCAATCAGTTCAACCAGGGAGTGTACGATATCATCATTGCTTCAGATGAAAAATCATTGGATGAGCCACATGCTGTGAAACATGTGGGAAAGAAAGGGTATAGATATTTATACTACTAACAAAGTAATCTCAAGCCGTCACGTATGTCAGTTTGTTAAAAATAGCCAGTGTTGTGAGGACCATCTGTGTCACCATCATCAGGATTGGATGTGGCACTGGATCCAAACTCTCCATCTGTATAAGAGCCTGTTGCCTGTGATCAAGGCTGAGCTTGAACCAGTGGAGGGCTAGTGAGTGAAGTCATAGGTTTGCTTTGCTTGGTCTTGTTTCTAGATTGGTGTATTTATATACTGCTTTATTTTAGTAGTCACCAGGTACCAGTATGACTGAAATTGTAACCCCATTACTGGTAAAAGTTTCTGGGCTGAAATCTGAGCTCAGTAAAAGGAGACTATTTCATGATAAAGGTTAATGTGACTGGAAGCTAATATGACTAAACCAGTTAAGTAGTATATTTTCCATGTTCTTATCTCTCCTGCAGTGGGACATTAACCCTTTTGCGTGGTAATTTAAATTCCGCTGCCGTGTCTCTCCGGCGGTAATATATTTAGCCGGCCATTTAAATTTTGCTCGAAAATGATTTATTCATCATTGTTCTTAAATTATATGAGATAGGAACATGAAACTTTCAATAAAATGATCTTAAAGGGGGTTTTATAACCTTACCTTATAATATGAGCGCCCGGTATCTCGGCAATGGAAGCAGTTGGTTTAGAATTTGAGCAGTGTTTGGTACGCTTTTAAGCATGAAACTTTCAGTAAAATGATCTTAAAAGATGGTTTTATAACCTTGCCTTATAATATGAGCGCCCAGTATCTCGGCAATGGAAGCAGGTGACGCTTTGAAGCATTCTTCTAAACACATGGCTAACTCACGTTCACCAGACCAATACTGTGTATCTTTTCTCTGACCCTTTTTTTTTAACCACACATCTTCTGTGCGGCCTTGCCTCCTTCCCCGTGGGGGGAATACAACAGGAAATGTCTCTCTGTAGCTTGCCAGATTAGCTGCAGTAAATTCAACCTTTAGGTTATCATAACAAGGGGTTGGTGCTTCTGCGTTTCAAATTCCTTCCATTTTGGCTGAAGCAGATGTCGTAGGGGTGACCACAGAATTCATGAAGTTATTCTAAGAACTGGCTGTTATGTAGTGCACGAAAGCAGAGCTTAGCTGGCTCAAAAAAATATTTATGGTCATCCCTCGAAACGACCACCAAGGTCAGTACGATAAAATGACGTCAGCTGGAGCGATAATACGTGAAGGAATGAGTTCTTTTCCCTCCCCCACACACACCCGTATCGTCACAGGGGGTGACCACAGTGTTCTGCCTTAATTCGTGGCGTTTTTCTAAGAATTGTCTGCTATGTACTGTGCGAAATCAATCGATATTGCAAGAATAAATTTTTGGACATCCCTCTTCTAAGAATTCTAATTGAGTGTGTTAGTGTGGCCAGCTCAGGGCAATATGATATTATAAACACAGCACATATCACGTCTCTGCTGTTTATAACTTCATAGGAAAGAAAACACGCCATTCATAACAGTTTGAACGAGGAAACTTCTACCAGAAGCAACACGAATTTGCTGCAAGACAGGCATATGTAATGATGACTTAACGCAGCTAAAGTCATGACTCATTAAATACTGTGNCTCAACCGTGTGTCATAAAATTATAAATCAAAAAGTTTATGGGAGTTCATATATCTGCATTTTTATTTATATAGCTGTTACATTTATTGTACATATATATATATATATTTTAGTAAAATTCTGTACTTTTGGCTTTATTCTCAAAAAGTATGCCACTCACATGAATTTCAGTTTCATCACAAAAGCATGTCTGACTTGTGCACATTCAGTATATGAAGTCCTGACTGGTGTCTGGTGGTTAGAGATGAAACACAATCATAGGAACTGACTGACAAAACAATCTCCATCCTAAACATAAACACATGTTTGATTATTGCTACATTTTACTGTGACCTACTGCAGCTCTGACTGCCTCATTGAAAACAGGTGTTTCTTATTGCCCTGTGAGCTGAATTTGTACTTTCTTCACAAGCTCAAGGCTACTGTGGACGAATGAACTGTGCAACAAAAGCTGTTTGTTCTTCCTAACATCAGCTGCAAAAGTGTACTCTTGTACAGACTGAAATCATCACTAAAATGATTGTGCCACCAGAAACATTGATGCGACTGTAGCGGCACATACTGTGAGGGTCTTTATAATGATGGTGTAGTTTTCAATACCCTCCCATAGTACACTTTGGAGCCATTAAAATCTTACATTCAGACACTTCATATCAACTTGTTGAACCTCGATCCCCTTTCACACCTCTGGAAGTTGGCCACCATGCGGTGACGTGTGAAACGGTGTGACACACAGGGATAACCTTCAGTTTTCACAGTTGTACTTTTTCCTCAACTTTGGCCCTTTTCATTGTCATCAAAATGAATAAACTTGAGTAGAAGGTGAAACCTCCTCTCACTGAAGAGGTCCAAAAATATGGGTGTTTATAGAATTTTCCTCCAGGAAAAATACTCTCTGGTTATCCACTTCTTGATGAAGTCCTTGTAACAGAAAGAATGCCAGCAACACTATTATTTAATTTCTGTTCATATCCTTGCAGTGATGGGTCCTAGATCTTAATTTTAGATTAGGCATATTTTCTATCAATTGCTTGGGATGCTGGTTCGTTTCTCTGTCTATTATGCAATTCCTGGCGTATAAAACCAGAATATTCCAGTGGGTTACTGGAGTCCTCTAAATCAGCATAGATGCCAGGCTTTGCAGAGAAAAAAACTGTGGTTGGTCAGCACCTGACTTTTCCCATATGCCATGCTGCATGCTGCTCTTGTCACTGACATTTTCTGCTCATCAGAGCTGACACTCTGTTCACCACATGACAAAATTTTCACATTTATTTCACTGTCACTACTGTATTTGCTTTCAGAAATATCACTATATTTATTCTCTTGCGAAAGTTCATATAACACCCCATCACTTACACACATCTTCTTGCTTNATTTGCTTTCAGAAATATCACTATATTTATTCTCTTGCGAAAGTTCATATAACACCCCATCACTTACACACATCTTCTTGCTTGGGCCTGCCAAAATGTTTACTTGCAAAAACTTGAACACAGGACAGCTATCAAGCAATCATCACCTTCCTGTCACACTGTGAAGTAACTAGAAGATGTAGCAAGCACAATGTAGAAATTTGCATTGCTGACTATCATTATATCTACAATGGTGTAGTTGGAAACATGCATGGCATGTAGAGACGTCATACCTACTACGATACAGAGTACCACATGACGTGTTGTCATAACCACTTAACTGGCAAGTGTATATATTTAAATTCCTGCCCCAGTTAATTCTGTGCATTCATATTGTAATGGTCCATGTAAGTTTAGGCATTGTGGGTGTTTCAGGACAGAAGTCTTGTTCACTTCTCTAGAGTTGGTTTCAGGAATTGATTTTTCCCACACATTGAATGGCATTGATGTAGGAGATATTGACCTCTGCCACAACTTCACAAATCATATGTCATTAGTAATGAGAGAAACTGATTTGTCGGTGTATTATGTTGATGGTTAGTTGGATAAATCATGGTTTTTCATGGAAATTTTGTAATTGTAGTCTGCATGGTGACTTATGCAGTAAACTCCCAGTTACCTAGAATTCTCATCCAACTGGTAAAATAGTCAGAAAAAGATTTGTCACTTGTTATAAAATTGTTGACAAACAAATTAGCAATTTACATTTGTTCACCTATCACATGTTGGTTTTCCCAGCCACTAGCAGTGCTACCTGTCATCCCCCTGACACAGGTGCCACTGCAGTATAGGCAAATTGAATTTGTGTTTGCATTGTGGCATATATATATCTGAATTCTTTGTCCCATCAATGTGCAATGTTGGCTAGGAAGAACTGAAGTGAAAATGTGTTGGTTTCACTGTATTGGGTTTCTGTAATAGTTTTTCTCATGCAAGTGGCACACCCATTCCCTATGTATGATGGATAATGGGGAGTTTACTGTAGTTGTGCATGTTTCTTATGCATATTTTTATTTTTTTTCAGGAAGCGTAAGAAAGATAAAGAATTTGGTGTTGCAAGAGGTATTGATTTTCAGTTTGTGTCAAATATAATCAACTTTGATTTCCCACCCGATATTGACTCTTATATTCACAGAGTTGGGCGGACTGCTAGGGGTAAACACCAAGTAAGTGAACAGTCTGTAAATGTCTGTTACCTTTATGTGCTAGAGAGCTTTCCTAAAAAAAATTGAATTTTCTTGAATCTCAAAGGCCTGGAATATAGGATTCCATAAAATGTTAAAGATGGAAAAGGAGAAGAAGTGCATGTTGAAGTCTGTGATGAAGTGTTCATAGTGTTCACTGGGAGAAGTGAATTAAAGGGGATTTTTGTATGCAAATATGTTTCAAAGTTCAGATACATAAACATGTGATGATTTGGGAATTGTTCTCTGTTTGTTTATTTATTAAAGTTTATTTTTTATATTCCCATTTACTTGGTTGAAATGTATAGTTTTACAAGTTTCCTATCCTTTCAGGAGAGAAATGTTTTGGAAACATCCTACAAAGCTTCAGGTGAATAAGTAAGGGCAGGAGAAGCATGTCTCCTGAAGGAAGAGGTTTTTTTTATTGCTAGTGGGGTGGGACTAAGTCCCTTGTACTGCGTCCACTTCTGGCCTATTGTACCAGCCTCAGATGATAGGTGAGGGTGATTGTGGAGCAATTGTTGGAATGAAGATTGACAGGGGAAACCGAAGTACTCAGAGAGATCCTGCCCCAGCGCCACTTTGTCCACCTCAAATCCTACTTGACCAGACCCAGAATCGAACCCAGGCTGCTCTGGTGGGAAGCCAAAGGAAGAGGTTTGTGGAATAGTACATTTTGGGATCAAATTAAAGGATGTTTTTCGTTACAGGGTACAGCTTTATCATTTGTAAGCATAAGGGAACGCCCTTTAATGGAAGAAGTTGAAAGTCATCTGAGAAGTGGCTGTTCTGAAGAAGAAAAAGTTTTCAGGTTAGTCATACAGAAAACCACTTCATATGTTTTCATTATGCTGTCTAGCTGATAATGATAATCCTGAATGCAGAAGAGCTCTGGAATTCTTCCTGATTCTTTGTCACTGCAAAGCTGAACACCTTCAGTGGAATGGGAATTTTCTTGTTTTTGGTATGCAACGTATGGTCATTTCTGTTATGGTAAAATAAGTTATTTTATTCATTCTTGGCACTCCACATATTGGATCAGTTTGGTTTTCGCATTCCAGCTCTGCATCTGTTCAAGTGTTTAAAAAACTGTTAACACTAATAACACCCTGAAACTGGGAGGTATCTGTTGTTAAAATTTTCTGTCCTTTGTATGTTTATTTCAGTTGTAGCATTGAGTTGAATGAAGTAAAGAAAAGCCACTGAAGTTAGAAGCTTAGAGGTGATAGAACAGTGAAAATAACAGCGAAAATTTGCATTGCTGTTGTGGGCTCTATATACACATTTGTAAACATCAATGTTGAATTAGTACTGCCATTTTTTTTAGGTAGTGCAAGCTTTCTGGCACTAGTACCACCACCAGATAGACAGTGGTAACAGAAAATTGTGGAACAGAGTCGTCGAGATGCTGGTCAAGAAATTCCTTGCCTTTTACGGAATCCAAAAGTCCATTACTGCATTTACAAGACCCCATTAATGGAACCTGTCTGGAGGGTGACTCCAGTCCAGACCCTCACACCTTATTTCTTTTAGATCCACTTTAATATATACCTTCCATATACACCTAGGTCTCCCAGATGATTTCTTGCCTAGGTTTTCCACTTAAATTTTATATGCATTTCTCATGTTCATACATGCTGCATGTCCAGCCCATCTGAAAGTTCTAACAACATAAATAAAAAAATCTTTCATTTTCTGTAGCAGCAGAAATACAGAAAACAGACTTCTTTCAGACATTACCATTGTCAAAAATGATGCAAGCTTTCTTACAAAACCACTGTTAGTACCATAATTAGCCCCTTGTTTCTGTTACTTAAACTCTATGGTATAAGTGACCACAAAACTACATGAGGTAGCTTTTTGGCCTTTCGCTTTTGCCATGAATCCAGCTGTGTTATGGCACATGGGTAACTCTTGCCAGCACTCATTCCCTATATATGCAGATTCAGTTTGTTCCCCAATAAACTGGATGATAAATCAGTTAAATTGTTATAGTCTTTGCCTTTGCATATGTGTTTATGATATCAAACCACCTTACATTGTTTTCTAGAGCATACCAGTTTAAACTGGAAGAAGTTGAAGGATTTCGTTACCGATCGAGGGATGCATGGCGAGCTGTTACAAGAATTGCAGTACGAGAGGCACGTCTTAAGGAAATCAAACAAGAAGTATTAAACTGTGAAAAGCTAAAGGTGTGTTTTTAATGAATGAGTGGTGAATGAATGAACGAGCTGTATGCTGCTGAATATGAATACATGAATTAGATTCAAGTGTTCATTGTTTGGCATCTTGTTGGCGATTTATGTATGTAATTCTCCCTTGAACGCCGCAAGTACAGTATTATTTATGGTAGTGGAATTGTATTTCAAATTTTCATCTTACAGAAAACTAGATGGACTTAAATTCTTTAGTTCTTTTCTATTCCTTCATTTGTTAAAATAGTCACATTTTAATACTGAGAAGATTAATCATGTGAGAGAAAAGTGTTACTTTCATTCATTTCTGCATAATTTATGAAGGTCACGAACCCTGCTGTATAATTCCCCATATCTGACACATGAAATGATAGTTTGAATTCCTTGACTGCACTGAATATACAGTAGTAAAGCACCAAATGTAACATGTTTGGCAAGGGAATCACTTTGACCACAAAAGAGATTTTTTGTTTATGGCAGCATGCTATCCAGCACCTGCATTCAGTTTCCTAGAAGCGCTGCCCATATCTACTGAGTAAGAAGGAATCAGCGAATGAGAAGCAAAATAATGGCGTGCAAAACTATACTCACTCTGTGACACAGTAGTAGTTACTCTTAATCTGAAAGAGAGGTGGAGTTTATTTTGTTTTATGCTCAAGATATATACAATTGATGGAGTGTATGTTAAAAAGATGCAGCCTTTTCTGCACTTTTAGGCTATCTTGGATGTTTAGAAAATACATGTAAGAGTGAAGAAAATCATTCGTAGTGCAGTAAGTGTGCAGTGCTCTTTAACCTGTAGATATGTTCATCTTGTTTCCTAGTAGGGCACTAATCATCCTGACCATGCCTCAGACTTCCCAGCCAGGGTCTATATGAGCAGAAGGATCGCTGTATAGTTTGGTATTCATAGATAGGTACCACTGTTTCAGTGGTCTTTAGTCTTCCTTGGCTAGATGATGGATGCAGCTGGTTGCTCTAAGAAGTCTTTGCTTGTATGAGTATTAAGGGAATAAGTAAGAAATGCTTGTATGAGTACATATATTAACATAATTATTTGTTTCGCCTGAACACAGAGCTATTTCGTAGATAATCCACGGGATCTTCAGTTGCTGCGCCATGACAAAGCTCTTCATACAGTAAAAATACAGCCACACTTAGCAGACGTACCTGAATACATTGTCCCATCTGCCCTCAAGTCCCTAGCTGGTGTTTCAAGACCACGTAAAAGATACTTTGATAAGATGTCTGGTTCTGCTGGAACTTCCAAGGTCAAAGCCCATTATGAAGTAAGTATGAAACATTTAAGGAGTGTAATGTAATAAGCAGAATACAATTTGTGTATGTGTGCACATGTGTATATGTGTGTGTGCATGTATTAGTCACACTGGAAAATATTCCATGGGGAGAAACTGTGTTACGTCATCTTGTGATTGAAAACAATCAGTAAGTGTACTGATGTAATGAAACATAGTTCTACTAAAATCACTGTTCATTGGAAAATATAGGTAAGTGAATTAGATAGCAAGTTTGAAGTTCTATGGTAGTCATATTTTCAGGGAGAGTGTGTTTCATGAATCGAAGCTGATTATTAAATTTTGAATGAAGTAATGGATTGTAACCTCACATTTACTGTAATGGAATTTGTGACTTCTTGCATATTAATTAGGTTCCTTTCAGGCATACTGATTGTGTGTTATTTAAAGTGTTTATTGTCCTCCAGAAAGTATATGAAAATGGACTTTCCTCCAATATATACATTATTAGACTGTGATATTTATTATGGTTTCTCTTCTTGATGTGCTTTTACCTAATGCCTGGATTTAATTTGCCTAAAATCCCACTCATTCTGTTACTTGCCATGCCTATGCCTGAATGTTCAGGAAATTGTGACTGCTGACATCCAATTGAAGTATAATATTCCTGTTTTTGAGCTGTGGAAGAGCATAATTTTGCAATATGGCTACGAATGAGGGAGTGGAATTATACTCCACCATTCTTAACCTTGGCTGTAGATGGAGATCAGTGGTCATCTTCATGCCTTGGCCACTTTACCTCAGGGGACACTGCCCCCAGTATCCATTGGATAGGAGGCCAGGTGGTCCCTAGAGGCAGTCTGGACACTGTGGAGAAGAGAAAAATCTTTCCCCTATCCATGAATTGAACCCCAGCTTTCCAGCCTATATCCCATTGCTATATCAACTAAGCTATCCCAACTCCTACAGTGGAAGATAGATTAATTGCTGTGACTAATAAGCAGTTGTAAATGTAATGTGTAAATATATTTGATGAAATATGCTGCTAATTATAAAATATGTAATGTAGGTTGCTGTGTATTTTACAGGCAAAGAAAAGGAATCCCCTGTCATGTATGGAATTTTCTGGATTTAAGAAGAAACGGTGATTCGCCAGACTTCTGTAAATGTTTAAGGAAATCAGTCAACTTTGTATCATTGGTTCTTATTCTTAGACATAATGTCTGAACTGTCTATAAAATAAGTGAATCAGGCATCTTTTGCAGTCAGTTCATTATCACCTAAATTTGGAGTTACAAACCAGTATTTTAATGGATGGCTAATGGGCTGTTGCAAAGAAGAGTTTGAGAAATGTTTTGTTCAGTTAATAAAATGTTACCTGAATATTTTGATTAATTTTTAAGTGAAATTTTACCTCATATACCAGTTTATTTTGGCCAACATTACAGAGACAGTCTCAGGGTCCATGAGCAGGAAATGGATGTGATAGGTAACCACTTTTGTTTGGTTTGTATATATTTGGAGATATGTTTAAGACCTGCATACCAAGCAGTTCACAGAATCATCTCAGCAGCATCAAGCTTATCATTATTACACCTGAAAAGTAAAGTCAGATTTACTTATGTGACATGCTCAATGAACATTGCCTAACTTCTGGGTAGCAGCAGTGAGCTCAGAGATGCTGACCTGAGTTTACACTTACTCTGTCCAGTACTCTTTCATAGGTCAGTGGTTGTCCTAGGAGAAGGAACCTCATTGGATATCTAAATTTATATAAATTAATCATTACATAATTCTATGATGATGGAATAATGGAGAAAGATGGTCTTCAAAATGTTGGACTTTGCTCAAACATATGTAATATCCAAAGATATTTCATTCCATTTGGCCTACTTTCCACACTTGCTCTTAGGTCATACATTACTGATGTACTTCTCAGATTTTGACCACCTTGTGTACACTTACATTAAGTGTAAGGTGGCCCATACATGTATGAGTCTGGCTCATTCTCCTCGATTTGATTATTTTATTTTGTTACTATTGTTCCCTGAACTCCACAATATTTTGAAACGATTTAACTGTCTTTTTTTTATTTCATACTTGAACTTCTTCTGCATTTACTTCTAGACCAACCTCCATCTCACGCTTCTTATTCTTTGTGGTGGTTATGTTTTCCTACCAGTTACTAGTGCATTAGTCTGGTCCCAAGGCAAAGTCCAAATATTACAAATCTTTTAAGGGTGCTGGAGTAGCTGTCAGTATAGCAATTTTGCTATGGGCTTGAAAACTGAGAGAAGTTGGGGTTCAATTTCTGGTAGTGGATAGATTTTTTTCTCTTCTCTGTATCATTCTGACTGGTTCTGGGGTCCACCCAGCCACCTATCCAGTGGGTACTGGGAGCGTTTTCCTGGAAGGTAAAGCAGTTGGGGCATGAAGCCGACCACCCACCTCCATCTAGTGCCAAGATCAAGAATGGTGGTGCTGTAACTCCGCTCTCCCATACATCTTCATAGTGTGGTGCTTAATTAAACACAAACTTAACCTTATCCAGTAAATTAACATCTTTAGCATAAAGTTAATACATGCTACTACTGAATCTAGTATGATGTTTGGACTCTATGACATCACTGCTTTTCAAAAGTATTAAAGCACATTTCCATTATTTAATTTATTGACAACAAAATTTTTCTATATACAGTAACTTATAAACATTGTTGATTGTAGTGTATATAACATTTTACTTTGTATATAATTATAAATTTGAGTCTAAATAAAGCACCCAGTTCACATTGCAAATTACAGAATAATTTTCTCAAGCAGTATCAACTTACAAAACACAGAATTTACATAAAAGTATGTCTACATTCAATGCAAGTACTCTTCATTCAACAGCCATAGTGACAATGGTCTGTGTATAACATTCAGTGAAATGTAGGTAGCTAGAAAAGCCTTTAGACACAAGTGACTTAACAGTATTTCAACAATTACATCCTCTCATTGTATCCAGCCCCTCCTATGAACATTCCATCCTGGAAGTAAAGGTACTGCTCAATTTATGGTACAGCCACGTTTTATGTAGAGCTGTGCCTAATATAACATTGCTCTGCATGGTGTTTTTTTGCACTGCTGAAGAAATAGAATGTGTATTTGGAAATTGTCATTCTTTCTAACACACTGGTGTTCCACTTGGCTTTTCTCACTTGCAAAACTTCTGTACTAGGGCAAGGGCTGGTGCTATAAAGACCCCTGCCCTTCAGATGGACTGGTTAGGCTTTTGTTGCCATGTGATACCATGGTATCGCTTCTCAGTCCTTGATATGCAACTGTCTTTTTCACATTTACTGCATTTACAGCACACTTAAGCTCTTGCTGCATGAACATTTCCCAGAAAGCTATTTCTTGAAGCTGTCCATTGTGTCAAGGATGAATCTACAAGTGAGCAGATGCTCTCAAGAATCAACGATGGTCAAGATGGAAATCTATATGGATAAAAAGATAACACTATCCCTGTAACAGGCTGTGGAGGCCCATAAGGTTGTGAGATGTCAAGGCTCTCACATTGTTAGTTGGCTCACAAGTGACAGTAAGGTTGTCAGCCTTATGTGCTGACCACCCTTTACCCCCCAGGAAGATACCTGCTACTCATTTCTGTTAGAGGCTGAGTCAACCCCCAGGGCGATAGTGAGACTGGAAGGATTAGATCAATTTAAAAATCGGATGACATCAGGAATCAAACCTTCCAGTTCTTAGTGTAGAGCCTCAACCACGCTACTGTATGCCCAATCTATATGAATAGAATATCTTAATAAGAAAATGCCTGTAAATGAGCAGATTACCTAACACAGTCAAATATAAAGCAAATAGGACAAGGTCACCTGACTTTTATTTTCAAAAATCACCATCTGCTGCTGAATACCTGTCAATATCAACCATAGTGGTCAGCTTTAAACAGCTGTCCCATCGCCTCATGATTCTTTTGAATGCTCCAGAACAATCCAAAATGAAGACAGGTAAATAATATTACAAAATTGTTTTATACTTAATAAAATTTTCTCTAAAATGGTCAGTAAAATCTATGAAAGCATAAATTTATTTTTTAAATGAAAGTTACATTTATGTGATAAAAATTGACATTTATTCTCTAAAATATTTAATACAAAGCATGATCTAAGATGATTAGATAAGAAAAAAAAAAAGGTAATTTATTTTACTGTCTTTACATGTTTTGGCCCATATGGGTCATCTTCAGAAGGCATACATTAAAAAATGCTTTGAAATTATAATGTGTGCCTTCTGAATGGGCCAAAATGTGTAAAGGAAGTAAAATGAATTACCTCATATGTGTTACTCAGTAATGGTTAACATATACCAAAATAAAATGTGTTACATAATTCTTTCCTTTGGAATGTTCAATTACATAGGCGAATTTTTCAATTTGAATGTTGTATCTATATATTTTTAATTTGTAATGTGTACAACTTTGATTGTAAAGCTCACTTGTTCCCAATTTCAATTCTTCACAGTAGAAATTCATCCCCACCTTTTATGTTGCATTAACATAAGAAAAACTAACAGGAATGCATCCCCAGATATTACATTACAGGAAACACTGCTTCATTGTCCATTCTGCTTTTATGGAACCTATCCCCAGTGTTAAGTGGCATATAATTGTATATACAGCATCTTAAAGGGTTCAAAACTGCTCAAATTGCAAGCAGTCTACTCTTGGAAGCAAAAAGAAGTTGCTTGATGCAAGGTGTGGACTGTGGTGGTGGTGGTGGTGGTGTGGTTTAAGTGTCATGAGAGAAAAGTTTTCTCCAGAATGAGATGGTAGGTGCATGTCTCATAACCTATGATAATGTCAGAAGTTAGATAAGCGCCATTATCAAATCATATGAGTACTTCACAGCAACATGCTATTCTATTTTTGGGCTTCTGTTGAGGTGTGAGGCACCCACTGGGTCAAAAATATTCTCATTTTTTAATACTTTTTTAGAGTTTGCATCCTGTTGCATAAGTACAATTAATAATACACATTTCACTGTCAACACAACTACCTTTTTAGTGATTTGTGTTACACTACATGTTTCAACCCTTAAAGTTTCATCTTCAAGGTCTAGTGAAACCCAAATCAATAAAAAGTTGTTCCACTGACAGCGAAATTTGTATTAATAGCTGTTCTCATATAGAGCTGATATGTGTAACAGTGCAAAAACATCTAAAAGTTTAATATCTGAAGCAGCCTTAGCATATGTATTATTCATGAAACTATCTTAATTGTTGGTTTTCACATAACCAATGTTTACCTTGGTTACTGCTGTTCACTCATTTTCATCCTTGAGAACAGAGAAACACAGTACTCTTAGACCTATACCATAATATCTGCCAACATTTCAGCCAGTCCCTTGTTCTCTTTAATGTGTATATAAAAAAAGTGTGGAAAATGTGAGCTAGCTTAATAAAGTGGAGTAAAAATGTTACACTGTCACCTAAATTACAAGTTTGGGCAATGGTAACAATGTAAACAGTGTTTTTTTAATGTTGAAAAGATACAAGGGTGCAAATAGAATGAAACTGTTAGTAACAGAATATGTAACAATTTGTAATTATTGGTACCTTCACTGAAAAGTTCTATTGTTGACCTCTTTACCATGGAAATATGCACAGCGAAGCATGTACAAGAATATGGACATATTGCGAGTGAAATACTTAATACTGTTTAGTGATGATGCAATATTATATGCAAACTGGTAGCATATGATGTCACGCACTGATTAAATGTCCGCTGGAATGAAGCCGTATTTATCCTGGTAACGGGACAAGTAATTAATGGGTTCTCAGGATTGATGACACACATAAAAACTTATCTGCTGATTTGTAACACTCTAAAGATTACTGTAACTACAGCACACAAAGTCTTCAATGTCTGCTTGCTAGTCGTTGCTCAGTAAAGAATCTTACCTGGTTAACACTTCACAGCTGAATATTCAATTACTGAACTGCCTTCTGAATTCTATTACGAATGAATGAACTGAATTCACGAATGAACTCTCTTTTATATTAGTATGGGAGGACTGAATAGAAGCTATTGGTCTCCTGTATCCATTGATGCAGAAATGCCTGGTGATTCCAAGATTCCTCGTATCTACATAAACGTTTGCTGATTCTTTTTTTGACAGACAGTGAGCTTTAGCAAGCTGTTGCCTAGCAAAGACTCCTGCTTGTTCGTTGGTATTCCGGCTTTCATGCAATGTTTACCAAAATGTTGCCGAGCAAATTATGGTTGGAACATTTGATACAGACCCTCCTCTACAAATGCTATAACATTATCCAACATTTTTAAATGTGGATAACGTGCCCAAAGATGCTTATGAATTACATGAAATCAACCAACATTTTCAATGTTAATCCTGGGAACCAAGGTTTCCCAACCATTTTCTGATTCAAATTTCCTTCCTGAGTTCTGAAAACCAGTGGTAATCTGTAAAAACTCTTTGGTGCAGTACCCTGAAAATGTGGGCAGGCTGGTTCTTATTTCAACCATTTATAAACCTATAGAATCACTGCATGGAATAGCCCTCTCACAATCTCCATGATCCTGATTGGTTGCAGCTCAGAGTGAAATGTTTCAGTTTACACTTCCTGAACAAGCTGAACAGTAACCTGTTTACAGGGACCAGTCTAATGCCAAGGAATTGTGAAATAATGCATCCAACCTGTTGGCTCAACTGTTGTATCTTTAAACTTTTTAGTATACCTTGTAACATTCATTATCATGTACAATAACAGAACAAAGCTTAACATGAAGAGATCACACATATTTGCCACTTTCTCAATGAAGTAACACTGTAATTCAGTACATTATTAAATGGAAAATGATCAAATGATCAGGAATACTTCTGATGGTTTTCTTTCAGTACTGGAACAAAGCTTATTTCAAGTCTCTGGAACAGAGAAACCTAAGTGTTCTAAACCAGAACAACTTGTGTTGACATTTCAGCCAGTTCCCTTTTTTGTTCTCTTGAATGTAAGAGTTCAAAAATCTGGAACATGTGAGGTAGCATAAGAAAGCGGAGTAAATTGTTGATGCATCACCTTAACTAGCATGCTGAAGAATGGCAACAATATAAATGAAAGCTCTGTTGTCTAACTGAAATTTAATAAATTGCCAATTCTAACACTATTTCCTTATGAAACTACAATAACAGCAGCATTCAATAGAATTATGTCTGGTTTGGTTGGCAGGATGCATAAATTGGTCCTGCTTTAGATTTTGCAATATCTGTGGCTTTCTTTGCAGCATCTTTCAACGTTTCCTTCTTTGCTGGAGTTAACTGACTTGTAGTCTCATCAGAAGTTGTATGAGGCAGAGACGTTGCTGTGAGGGGGAACATTGTCATCAGTACATGGTTAAATCCTCCCACCATCTGTTGACAGTTCTTGCGGAATCGTTCAAGACCAAACGCCTGGATGGCTCGTCCAAAACCAAAAACTTGTGAATCAATCCAGGCTGATCGCTCAGCAACTGTCCAATTAGGGTTTTCTTTGCTTACTTTATAAATAACTTTCTCAACAATACTCTGAAAATAAAAAGTACAATGATAAACCATATGGAGGGTTACTGGCAAAATATGTCTTTCTGTCCAAATTACCCATGAGTACTTCATACTAATAAAAGTAGGTAATATGGTAAAATGGGCAGGCAAGCCATTTATCAGTGGCTTTAAATGGCACTTTATACGTGCAGTGGTATGTGGTACCAGCACAAATCAAACATATTCTTAGAAAACAATCATTCATTGACCAAATGGCATAATGCTTATAACAAATTTTATGAAAACTAAGCAAATGATTCAGTAGTTGAAAAGGCAAAAATGTGCATGTGATTAGGGGCACAATGCTCCCCACACCACCACCAGAACCGTAAATACTTCAGCATTAATACACTTGCAGGAAAATATCACCTACACTGTAGTAAAAGCGTGTATGTGTTATACTGCTATCTATGAAAGTCAGTTTGGAGCAGTACACAGTGCCTAAAGCCATCTCAACAATTCAGCCACTCAAATTAATGTACTGGACAGACAAGTGGATGGATCTGAATTTTTCTGGGCAGGGAGTGACAGATTTCTCAGTAAAAGTGCAAATAACTGAATGTCTCCCCCACAGCTCTGCTCAGTTTGTTTTCAAACATTTTCTATGGATCAAGCACTATACTAATGAAGTGGGTCGAACTCTACTAGCAAAATGACCACTTCACACACAACTGATTTAAGTGTGCCAGAGGACAATATGATATAACAAAGTACAGAGGTAAAGCTATCCCAGTAACAGGCTGTGGGGGCCCATAAGGTTGTGAGATGTTGAGGTTCTCACATTTTCTAGTTGGCTCACACATGGCAGTGAGGTTGTCAGCCTTACACACTAGTGTACTAATTTCTGTTAGAGGCTGAGTCGACTCCATGGCCATAGGATTACATCAATTTAAAAATCCAATAACATTGGGAATCAAACATGCAACCTTCCACGTTGTAGCATAGTGCCTTGTGCAACAACACAACAGAATNCCGAAACGTCGGTTAACACCACATATACACGGTGCAAAATCCCAGAAGACTGCTTTCTTCATAGTCACCGCCGTGAAAGCCTCAAATCTTATAAAAACATATTTAAGAGTAATTACTAAAACTGTAATTTAAATTTATATAGTATTAATGATAAATGTATCTGCAAATTTGGTTTATGCTAACTGCATTCAAAATAAGAAATTAAGTAATAAGGAACAATTACCATTACTCTAACATAACCAATATTCCTTGTATATGTAATTAGAATTTTCTCATTTGGGTCCATAACAGACTCCTCTACAATCTTGACAGTGCGAGAGTTAACGAAGCACTCTCCCCACTTTGGTACTCTGTTAGTCTTAGTGAGCAGACGCTTAGTAAATAGCTTGCTTCCTCGTATTTCCCGACTTACTGTGTCCTCAGACAATACATGATTGCTGAAAAAAAAGAAAAATATCCTCGATTTATTTCAGCACAAAGAGAGAAGCATAACTTTTTAAACACTCAATGATCAGCTACCACTTAACGACACCTAAACAAGCTATAATGCTCTTTACTACAAAGCATTTGTGATCTTGAAAAACACCTCCTCATGGTCCTTCATTTACAGCTTTACATGTGTCATATTTTAAAATGAACGTTTTAAGAAATTTATTTTTCAAAATGTTTCATAAAATACGTACCTATGGGGGTTTGGATAACGCCTCCAGAAGCCTTGGGCAACTTGATCCCAACTAAAATGGAACACGGACGTACTTTCAAAATATTTCATTTTTCTAATTAGTATTTATAACATTAACCACAAAGACACATCTGAAAGAAAAGGATAGTTATTTGTAATGATTACTATAAGGATATACAATATCTACAATGACTACATATTATTTTGGACGACAAATGAAAAATAACTTATGCCATACAGTTACCATAGTCATTTAAACCTTCTTCCTATGAACTACCAGTCCACAGGCTAAAGTCCTTGCACCCCTGTTATGCACATCGAAAGAACCATGACTTCCCAATTCACACATGCAGCCATATTGGCATGTTGACAAGATTGCCATGTGGAATTCGACACCAATGACTAAAATATCCCTAAGCAAGGATACTAACCGAAGAACCCAACAATAAGGAGTATATTGGCATGAGCAGGATAGGGTTCCAGTTCACATGATTCGATTTATTAGCAGCTTGGTTACACACACTCTCTTAATTACGCTTAAACTACAGCGCCATCGCTGATTTACACACACCTCATAATTCACTGTTCCACGCAACAGAGAAAATTCTTGACCCAACCGGGACTCGAACTCCGACACCTCGGTCGTCCAGCCCGTAGCTATTCGCTATACCGACTACGCTATCCCGGCTCCCAATCTAAAAGATTATAATCATAACTAATGATTAAGCACCTTTCATGTGTTTTAGGCACACAACAATAAGTGGATTCCAAAGGCTATCCCCAGGATCTGGAGATTCCCAGATACTTGAAGGATCCCACTATCTGTTGACTGTCCATTACTTAGCGTTACGTAACATTCTGAGATTTTATTTCATTCCTTAAAAACCATTCAAACTGACTTGGGTTTATTGGCTTTAAAATTCAAAGTGTCTTGTACGCTCTAAAGTAGCTTCCCTTAAGGATTCTAATTGTTAATTCCTATAAAGCTAGGCATTATCTTACAAAATTCCTATGTGGTTTCCATCATGCGCATACAAGAGGAAAATATCCTTGATAGGCGCCGTGAATGTCATAAATCTTAGATAAATTGTCACCGAAACAAGAATGAAGTCGTTTCGTCTGAAAATAACCGTAGTATATGGATTGACGACTGTATGAGGTCGTTTTTCAGCCTGTGAACAATAGTGTCAAATAAGTGTACGTAAAGAGAGTCCTGCAAAAATTCCCGTAACCACGGTTGGGAAACCATTCTGACGATTCTCAAAATTTTACCGCTGTTGCCATGTATCGATGCAATATGAACTGTACGGAGACGCTAGGAGGCATGGCGCGAATTTTAGGCCACAAATTCAATGCGAAATGTAATATTGCACGGACAAAACGTGATTCGTACAGTAGTATATGGATACCACTATGTTATGTGTACCAAATGACCTTTTATGTATTGTACGTAGACATTGCTGTCACCATGTTGTTCCATCATGAGATTCGTGCATAGACTGCAATTATTGAAGACCGCTAAATCATTGACTGTATATGCTGAAGAGAACTTATGCACATAGTGAGCAATTCTTCACTTTATCATTTAATCGTTTAGTTAGATCATCAAACAATTACATGAAACACCTCTTGCACGTTGTTATTTTTCCTCTTGCATACATGCACATAGCTGCTGAACTGTATACTGTGCCGCTGAATTTAGTAACCTGTTGTACCATTTTGTGATCCGTGCACATAGCGGCCATATAGTGAAAATGGACGGAGAGAGTTATCTTCACGCGATCCGTGGTCTACATAAATCACGGGACTTGCAAGAATTAACGTCCAACTTGGGCCATTATCCAGCGATCCAGTGATATCGGTATTTCAGAGATCATATGATTAACTACGAAATCGATCAGTCTCTGAATCGATGATGTTCAAATTTGAATTTTGTTCGCTTGATTGTTTGCAAAGCAATTCTGATAGTTTTTTTATTTTGCGTTTGACGTTCACGAACAGTGGAACAATCAGAAACAGAAAAATCACTAGTATAGAGGAGCATTATGTTGGAAGCCAAGCTTTTTTCCTTAAGAACTAAAACTATGGTTAAAATCCTGAGACCCATAGTGCATAAGGTTTGTAGGTATTTCTGTACATTTTCTTACACATCAACACAGTGTGAAGTAGAAATCTTGTATTGTAGATTATTTTTTGTCCTGACGAGGTTTCATTTACTTTAAGTGGCTATATGTACAATTACAATTGATAGCAGAAAATCAATATATAGTTCACGAAAACTATTTATGTTACAAATCTAGAAAAGTCTCCTCAAGTATTTGTAACAGCAGAAGGTGAGCAGTTTGGAAATTTTCCGTAAAATAAAGTAACCCAAAGCAGGAAGCAATTTTCCAACAAAGCTCTGCCACTCTTCTCAAAGCTGCTGATCAGCTCTACAGTACTCAGCCCGCATGTGGACTGGGCATCCAGAGTAGGATAATACAGGGAAGTTATTTGAGACCCTGCAACAAATCTCTCAAATAGTCTGGTGGGCAGGACATCTTTGTGTCAACTTGCATTGCACACATTCAGACTTAAGTTGTTAACAGCCAAATAGACTATATAAGTTAGCATTTCTCTTTTATAATGACTCCATAGATCTTTGAACAGATACCATAAAACAAACTTACATATTTGGTGCTTGTTGGTTGCAAACCCAAGCCCCTGCTACCCTATTAACATTCAGTTATATTGTGTCACAATGGCTGTTATACATTGAAATAAGCATTCATGTACAATACCTATGTGGAAAGTAAGGAGAAGATTCTGGTATAAGTTTCAGGATGTTGCAGTTCCAAGAAGGAAAAAATCAGTGGAAAGCTATTGTGTGTACTTTCTCATATAAAATTGACTTTGACTACTTTACCTGGAAAATGAAATTGATTCTTGCTTTATAGACTACTGTTGGTCACATTAATAAAGACCATCTGAGTGACAAAGTCAGTTTTGAGCAAATTGACTTTTCACATATGTGCTACCAGTGCACGTGTCATTTTCCTATGCAGTTCTGTTTAGGAATAAGGTTTCCATAAATACTGAACTATCAAAATCATATTTAAGAGAATTGCCATTTTGTGTTTTGGGGCCCTATCTTTTGAGCTGGAATCATAATATTCATCCAAACCTGATCTAAGATGGATAAATGCTTGAACACAGAAAATGAATAAAATCTGTTCAACTGTTCAGACAGTAGCGAGTTGCTCACAAGGGCACACAATGCATGTATACATACACAAAGACATTATACCAGAAACTACTTTTTTGTAATCTGGGGGACTGAAAATGCGCAAATACGTCAAAATATAGACAATTTTTTTTCGTGATCGCAATACTTGCTCATAAATACTATGTATATGAGAAAGTTAAAGGAAAGGTAATATCAAAATGAAATGATAATGAACTTAATGTGAACATTTTATGGTGTGCATGCATAGCAGCTGGGACCACTTCTAGCAACTGCACTGATGTGGGTGATTTCTGTTTGTAATTTGTTGGCTTGTAAGCTTGTTGAGTGCGCCGTTGGTCAAAATGCACAGAAGTTCACACAAGTAATGTTCCTCCCACTGGACTGGCTATAAAATTTGGCTGTCAAATAACTTCCCAGTGTAATTCTCTTTGTGTTACTTCCTGATAAAAATTGTCTGTTTTTGATTCCCATTAGAAACCATGTGTACATGCTTCCAACAGAATGTATTATGAATTTACATATTTAGGTTGCGGAACTGGATTCATACAAAGCTGCAGAAAATATGTATAATGAATCAGAAGCAAGAATTGTGTGTTGTATCATGGGAGAGATACATAAAAGTCTTTCACAGTTGCCTGAGTTTAAAGGATCAGAATACCCCAAAAAATTGAAGATACAACTAAAAGCAGCATTAGATGACTTTAATGCTGTTTATGAACTTATACTGGTAAGATACTAATCATGAAGTTTAGCTGTGTCATAGAGTTTAAAGTGTAAAATTTATGCAGTTCTGAAGGCAGATGCCAACCTGGTTTAATTACATGTAATGTTTAAAAATACTTGTGAAACATAACTGAATTCAGTTTGAAATTTGTAATTTGCATTCTACCTTCTATCTTCTGGGATATAACAACATATAATTAGGTGAAAGTGCACTAACATTTCACAGGAACATATTGCCTCCATTGTTGACTTTCATGAGATAACACAGCATTATATCTTAGTAGACAGAACTCTTCATGGCCACTGCTATGAGAACCTGAGATTTGACATGTTATTTTTTTCTCTTTAATTTGGTCACAGCCACACCTCAAGACATAATATATTTTTTTTACACTTCTTTGTGACTTGCAAGTGTGTGGTTTTAGGTGTTTAAGAACTTCACAATATCTTGCATATAATTTGTCATATAATAGTGTTCTTAATGCTCCAGTCTTTAAAATAGCATTACCAAGCAAAATCTGTTTTGAGGTGAAGTAAAAATTATTGTAAGTTTTAGTTGTATTCTGTATTTCTTTTCATGCCAGTCTCAGGTGGAAAACAGGACTGCTATTACAGCAACACAAATACAGGTGGTGGGCAGGAATCTTATCGAGTCTTTGTATGAAGTTTTGCTTTTTGAAGATTCCTTGTTAAAGGAGAAGATTCAGGAATCCTTGTCAAATTGTCATAGTGCTCTTTGTGACTTACAGAGAGCCAAGGGCAACCACATCATAATTAAATTTAAGGTAGGTATGATAAGGCAAAGTTATCCCTGAGCTTAATTAATTAAGCACCACATCATGAAGATGTATGGAGGAGTGGTGGTATAGCTCCACCATTCTTGACCTTAGCATTAGATGGAGGTGAATGCTCATTTTCCTGCCCCTGTCACTTTATCTCCAGGAAAACAGCCCCAGATGCACATTGTACAGGAGGCTAGGTGGGCCCCAGTGTTGTACATAAAAGTAAGTTGTTTTGTGGAGCATACTATTTTAGATGGGCTTAGCCTCTGAAATGTAGCAGCAATGCCACAGCTGCAGAGGAATGTGATTATGTGTAGTGAAATTAACAGAATGAGTATGGATGTTATGGAAGCTGTTGTATAATTCAAGGTGTTATCCTGAAATGACTGAGGAGAACTTTGAAACTGCTGTTAAATCAAGGAATTCTCAATGTCCCAGTGTCAGCAGACTAAGCTGTCTATATAACATTGATTACAAAGTTCCTCTTTCATTTTATCTTGAAGCATGGGTGAGAACCTTATAACCACTCTGAACTTCCAGTGAATATGTTCTTATTTGTGTAGTGCCTCCAGATATGGTCCGTGTCAACCTTTCTGACCCCTACCCATTTCTGTGGTGATGGCACCCACAGCGTGGATTTTGCTGGAAGAGTTTACTGTAGCTCCAAACTACTCTTCACATTCCCACATCTTTTGTCATTTATTGAGGTGAAGTGAGTAGAAAAATCCATACACAGATCTGACTGAGGACTGAACTCAAAAACCTCTATATGAAAGTGTATTATTTTACTTCAAGATTACTGGGTCTCCTACTGTGGTGAATGTTGATGAGAACATGTGATCATTAGATTATTTAATGATCCTTTGTTTAACTATATAAGTTATGTGATATTAAATAGTGGAGTGTGTGTGTGGGTAATAAATTGGAAGGTATATGTAAGCGGTCATGGCCTATTTTAATGTATAATTCCAGAATTCACGTGGAGGGACAGGAAAACCACTAGAAACCTTAGAGTAGCCAGTCTTCAGATCAGGATTCTAACCCAGAACCTCCCACATATGACAGAGTACTAAACAGTCAACCATGATATCTGGTGTTATGTTCATACAAATGGGTAGTGGTCATAATCCTCAGTCTGTTGAAATGAAATATTTGAAATTCTTGCAGAAAGTCTGGTCCTTATTAAAGTCTTTCTGTTCCGTGCAGAGTAAATAAGACATTTTTGCTGCTGCTATTAGAGAACTGATGTAGTGAGGTTTGAGAAACTTGCCTCATAGAAATTCTGTATACCTAGTCATACAAATATCTCAGGTTTGTATGCATATTCAGAAGAACTTTAGTGTGTTAGATTAAAGCATTCTGGTCATCATACATTCCTGATTGTGTAGTAGAAAGTTCCAAAGGTCATGCTTAAGCTTCACTGAGAAAATTACCACCTACTCTAAAATGATATTTTAGCAATTTTTCAGACTTTTGTTGAAGAAATACTGCACTGTAGGGAGCCACTGAATGCCTTTGTCATTAATCTAGTTGATCAGAAACAAAGGAATTTAATACTGTTGTGTGGAAGCCAGATTCAAAAATGCATTCCTCTAATGTTAAAAATGTATGAGACAGAGGGATGGACTGACACAGTCACTTTCAAGGTAAGGCTCTTAATGTGATATTCTACTCTTTCAATATTATGGTTCCCTGGGATGCGATGTTGTGTACTTTGCTACGTGCCAAATTTCCAAGAAAGACTTTTGTACCCTGAAGACTGAGGCAGCAGATTCCTCTGAAATACTGGTAACTCTCTTTCAAAGTGCATGTGATCACATCCCTGAAGACCATAATCTTCATAATTACCACTATGAGAATCTTGAATCTCACAAAATTCTACCTGTTTGCTTTGAAATTTGTGAAAAGAGTGATGATGAGACATTTTGATTTTCCTAAAACCCAATAAATTAAAAAAATGCCATGCAGTTATTGAACTTTTGAATATTAAGATAAAATGGTTACTGTTATGGGGATGAGATTTTTAGATAGGGAACATTAATATTTCCTGCTACTTTCAGTATGGTTCTAACCTGTGCTGACAGTGTAGTTGCAGTCCAAGATGTCAGATATTTTGGCTACAGAAAGTTTATGTAGATGATACTGGCACTTATATACTTTCCTAATAAGAAGTTTGATTATGGCACTGTCATGTTTGTGTATCTGTCCTCTGTAATAAGTTTTGTAGAAATTGACAGATTTTCATGGAACTTGGTATGAACATTGTGGTGCCTGAGTCTGTCCAGCATTTGTATTTTCTAATTTCTTGCCATCTGTAACACCAGCATGATGGAAAAACGAATTTCCAAGATGGGAGCAATGGTAATTCCACTTTGGGGGCAATAGATCCTCAAAAATGTGCCACTTTTGTTAATGTGAAATTTTCATAGAATATGCAACAGCATGGTGGTGTTGCAAAATCTGCATTTAGCTTTCAGTTATGACGTGAAAGAAAGGACATATTTTGAGTTAGAAGCTTTAATTGTTTGGTTTGCATACAATTGCAAATAACTGGGTGCAGCTGAATCATTTTCAGTAACATCATCAACTATAGTTTATGCTGACCGTCTTACAGTGTATACACTTTTTCACCCTACTCTTCACTTCCACACTACATGTTTCAGCACTAATGTGCCATTATGGCATGCAGTACAATAGTTTAACATGCATAAAGACACCTGAAGATGGCACATTAGTGCTGAAACATGTAGTGTTGTGGAAGTGAAGAGTAGGGTCAAAAAGTGTATGCACTGTAAGACGGTCAGCATAAATCATGGACATGAATCAGTGTAACAGGACGCTAAAATATAACATCATCAACTAGTCACAATAACTGTAAAGCAACTCGTTGTTAAGGATACTGTTATTTTTCTTTGTGCTGGTTTAAAATAACAGTGAAAAAAATATGAGAAAACTGATTGAATAAATGTTAACCGAAACTTTAGATAGACTTCGAAACAAATGGAGTTGACATATTGATAGACTAAAAAGAGAGACATCCGATAAATGAAAACCAGTTGAAGAAAAAAACCTTAGATCACATGTGGATGCTACTGGGCACCTGAGGCAGCACATGGTGAAAAAATAGCTGAACTAATTGTCTTGTCAACTGTTTCCAAACTTATTGCCAGAACCCAATATGGTGTCCACAGGAAACCAGCAAGTAATGAAATGGGTAACACTGAACTGTACAACCCCACCACATGTCAGATTTTAATTTTGTTTCTCCTCAGTGTCTACCTTACAAAAGCCAGATTTCTTGACTCTCTGGATGTAGAATCATTTTATTGTAGCTGAAGATGAGGTTACAAAGTGCATATAAGATCTGTATATAGGCAAGACTTTTGAATCAATTTTGGTACTTAGGATTGACTTTATTAATGTCATCTCTAGAAATTTCTTACTTTTCCAGGAGTCAGGATCCTACTTGTTCTCACGAATGCAGTGGTGTATCTCCGAGCTACTGAATGTGATTGATACTTCAATGTCAAAAGAAGCTGACAAGAGGGAAGAAAGTGGTGGCCAGTTTGTGCAGAAGATGGACCTGGTTTTGGAAATACTGGCATCTATAAAAGTTGAGGAAGAATTTACTGACATTATACCACAAGTAAAACATATTTTAGATGAACTTCTTTGTCATGCAATGGCTATAGCTCAAGTGTCAACTGCAAATGATTCTGCAGACATTACTGCGAGCTGTCAGAAAGTAAGAATTTTATAAGTATAAAACATAATAAAATAGTATCTGTTTCTAAAAGATATGTCATACCTTGAGTAGGCAACCTTACGGAAGAAAAGTTCCATGTGTTCAATGAGATCTCCAGTATGGCTGTTTTTTTTTCCTGTGTGTGTTGGTAATAAAATCCAATAACTTATAATTGCCGATGTTAGGTCACACCATAGCTCAAGTGATTAGTTGCTGGCTTCCCACCGCGGCGGCCCGGGTTCGAATCCGGGTCTGGTCAAGTGGGATTTGTGGTGAACAAAGTGGTGCTGGGGCATTCTCTGAGTACTTCGGTTTCCCTGCCAATCTTTATTCCACCAAATTATCCATCATACCACGCAGGGCAGGCTACAATAGGCCAGTCGGTGTTCAAAGTGCCGAGTGAACCCAGTTGGATTTTACCCCCCACTAAGAGAATTAAAAAAAAAATTATAATTGCCAATCACACTGGCGGTTTGAGGCATGAACTGTCTTTGCTCACTTGGACACTGGGATGGTGCGTTCGAATCCCACTCAAGGCGTGTATGTTTGTATGTGCATTTATTCTGTGTTGTCCTGTGTGTAGGTAGTGGCCTTGCAATGGACTGATAATTCGTCCAAGGGGTCCTACCATCTATGTAAAAAGGATTACAGAACTGAAGAAGAGGCCAGGGCCCAACAAAGGGCTGTAGAGCCATTGATGAATGAATGAATGCATGAATGAATGAATGAACTTTTTAATTATGAAGCAAAAATCTGTGTCGCTGTGTGATGATACACATCTTAATGTGTTCTGGATATAGACATCACCATGGTGATCTGTTAACAGCTTGTCATTTTTTACCATGGCATATACAATAAACTTCTGTCCAGCAAAATTAAGAACATCCATAGCTTTATAGGCATTGTTATTAACTCTTGAGTCTGGCCTTGGTAACCTTACCATAGCTGACACTAGCTAAGTGGCTAACAATAAATCTGGAGAAGTGTTGTTAGACAGTACTGGTGGTGACAACAAATGTCCAACCTGAACAAATCAGAAAATTTAAGAGAATGTCTAAGGGCGTTTCTAAGAAGATTACTCATTTACTGTTGGATTAGAAGGCAGAAAGTGGATCACATACAAAGACTTCTTTACAGGTTTGCCTTGGTTTGGGAATAATTTTTAAATTGCTAAAACATGCTTTGGTAAAATATAGTAGTATGTAGAGAGAATGAGGGAAGAATATGAAGCTTAGGGTCATTATCATCTGTTAGGTGCATATCTGCCATGTCAGACCATATCAAGTTCCTTTCCATAGCACAGCTAGGGAGTGCAAGGCTGGGGAAAACTGACATGGATAGGAAAATTGTGAGAAAGACTGTTAAAATAATAATATTTTTTATAGATGTCCTTCAGGCCTGTCAGTAAGGTGGCTAATCATTAAAATGCTTCAAGACTGTTACTGTTAATATACAATAAATTTGATTCATTAGACCTATGAAAAAGTAAATTTTTTAGTTTTTTCAGGATGGGTCAAAAATATATTCCAAGCTTTAAATAAAATGTGATTTCACCTCAAATCACCTAGTTTCCCCTAATTGCTTATGTTGTTATTCAAGACAGCTGATAGCTTCCCATGAGAATCACAGATATACTGGTAGTTACTAGGATCCAAGATTAATATAGTTTTGTGTGGGTTTCACAGGCAAGATTTTTGTAAGTATAACAATACTGTGTGACAATATGATGCATAGTTTTTCTGTATGGGTACATTAATCTGATTACAGATATTCTCAGAACCTCTTTTTCCATTTTTTTGTGATGAGGATATCTGCCAGTCAGTTACAGTGTCCTGAAAATGAGAATTAATAACTCATCAAAAATGTTGGACTTTATTCATATTCAGTATTCAAGAGTTTGTCTGTCACAAATCAGTGCCCAGTGATTATGAGCATTACAGTTCCAGAAACAGGAGCCCTTCAGATGAATCCCCCCCTCCAAAAAATGGTGATTTACTCAAAAACACTACCTAATGATTCCAATTAAATCTGAATGATTTATGGAGAGCATCTCCCTAAATAGAATTACATAGATGGTATCTTCAGTAAAATAACAGTAGGTGCACTAGGGACCCAGACACAGAATGTCAGTTTGTTGAAACTGACGTCACTGGTTAGATTGAAGTAATTGTTCAGTATTCAGCAACAAACAGTGATCTGCAGAGCAACATTTGATTTCATTGCCACAGTAACATAATCAAGATCAGTCATAAATGAGAAAGTATGTGTATTGTCTTTGCATACATTTTTTAATTCTGTTACTGCAAATTCCCTAGATATAATGCCGTATTTCTATGACGTAATCTGCATCACTTATATGTTGAACTATAGAATGTAGAATGAATCACTCATCACTCATGGAGCTGAGCCTTTCTTGAGAAGCTGCCAATTGTGCAGCTACTCAAGAACTTCCTAGCATTTTATGGAACCTGAAGGTTCATAACCATGATCACAAGAGTCATCCACTGGTCCCTATCCTAAGCCAGATCCTTTTTTATACTGTTCATTTACCTGCATTTTGGTCTTCCTAGTGGTCACTTTCTTCCTCTTTTTCTTACTATTCGTTGCAAGCTCATGAATTTTGTCTTTCAGATATTCCCTCTTTTTATTCCTGAAATGTCCTCTGGTCTCACATCTTATATTGTTTAGATTATCCCCATTAAATTTGTTTGAATCCTGTAGCCATTGCAATTTGGCTTGTGTCTTTGGTCTAATAATTCTGAGCATCCTTCATTTAACCATGGCTTATAGCCATGTAGAATGAATAATAATAATAATAATAATTTTCAGGTGTTACATGTTTTTGAGGATATGAAGAAAAAATCAGCTTCAGACACAGTAAACCTCTCAGTCCGTCAGTTATGTTGCTACTCTCTTGCTGAGGTCTTGGAATCCCTAGAGCAACAGATTAACCGCACGTTGCTTAGATTAGTACTAGAGGTAAGTTTGTTCCTTGTTCTGTTTCAGTCACTTTCTCTTTGGTTGAGTGGTAGCAAAGACATTGTCACTGTAATATTGTACATACATTTGTCTTAACCATTGACTGAATAAGATGATTGTCAGACATTAGTCAGTAATGAAACAGCTACTTTGGTTGGATCAATTTATAATCACTGCCACTGACTTGCAAGATTATGGTCCAAGTTTATTTTGTATTTATGCAGCACATTTGGAAACACACCCACATTACTTTACTTATGGCGTGGTACATCACACCATCTGCTACAGCAAGTATGAGTTGAACATGAGAATCTCTCAGACTGTGGTTGTGTGTATTTGCCAACTTGTACTGGGACTTAATACATGCTTGCTGCTTGTATAGCAGACTATAATTCCACCTTGACATATATCTGCAACCTTCTACTTGTCTGACATAAGAGGCAGAACATCTGTCCTCATCCACATTCATACTTTGTGGAACTTTTTCCATTTGTGTGGTCTACACAGCTGTGTACAGTGATAAGTTGTTTATTCAAGATTTGACTGGTAGTGTCTTTGTCTATCAAGACGGGATTCCTTCCTACTGTTTTCATAACGTAGTAGTGTTTATATGGTGAAACTCTATGCCATATGTCAAAGCTGTTCTCTCCACTTGGTGGCAGCCTCAGCAGTGTTACCTGTACATGAACTCTTTAAGTGCCTTGCATAGTTTCAGTAGTTCCAACCTTGTAAGGCAGTGAAATCAGTTGTCTTTTGCTGGATACCTGGCCACGTGGTTCTGCCTGCATCAAGGCTTCACTGATGTAATTACCAAGGTAGTGGCTTTGCATGGAGATTTAATATTTGAATGACCTATAGGTATTGATATTTTTTCTTATTTTCTTCATGCCATTCTGTCTGCCTTGCAATGTAAGTGGACTCATACAGAGCAACGAAGTATGAGCAGTGAAACTATCCTTGTAGGTGTTGCAGTCCTCCATCTCCAACAGGAGGAAGGAGATCACGATCACATGGCTTTGACTTGGGCATGCTTGCATAACCCGAAGATATCTGTTGAGTGGAGAGCTGGCAACTCTTTGTAAACACTCTGGGGAACTCCTTACTGTTCTGTATATCCACTTTATGATGAAGAGTCCCATGTCTTCCAGCTCTTTGGCATGTTGCTTGACAGCCTTGCAAATGATCGCTATAATATGTCTTAATGTTTTGGCATTATATGTATTCTGTGTGTTTGTCTGTGAATTTTACTGCAGGTGGTGGTATGAATTTTGGAATTGAATTTTATACAAATTGAAACAACCATAGCTACTGGTACACCTGTAAAACCACTCACATGCATGCACGCGCACACACTCGCTCACTCACACTAACTCTGCATGTGTTATGCAGTATATACTATATGAATTCTGAGATATGTCACACTTGCCAAATGCCTATTTTTCCACAAATGGAACTGCAGTTTTTTTTTTGTTCTTGTTATATATTATCCATTCATAAATATAATGCAGCCACATATTTTTTACTATAAATAAATCTGAAGAGGAAAATAACCTCGTATAATTGGTTGTGTACAGTATTTTGGATTTCCAAACTAGATGGGACAGTTCTCAGTTTTGTCTGTTGTTCTTCAATGCATGATTATTTACTGTGTGTATTGTCAGGTGTTCAGTGAACCATATAGTCCATTAAAGAAGCTGGTGAAAGCATCTTGTAACATTCCTGCTGCTGGATGCCATGCTGAGGATCTGGAAGTCTTGGTATCTGCGTTGGATTTACATGTGGATCGAATCATGCAAATTGGAATGTTTGCTATGGCTTGTTCAGGGGATGAAAAACGTATGTTTTCAGTACCTCTATGCTGTGAGAATGTATTACATGTATTTCGATGATCTAGAGCTGTACCATCCCATTGTTTCTTTCTGTTAATGATATAATTTATTGCCATTTAAAAAACTTATTATGTGCTTATATATTATTGTCTTAGATTCATGGGGCCATTTTATAACTTATCCAACTACAATGTATAGTAATTCAGCAGCTATGTAAATAGGTATATATGAAAATAACCTGAGTTGGCTTTTCATCAAAACATTATGTGACTGAAATTCCTGAACCTTTAATATAAGCTTTGCAGATGGTACTGTAACGTGTATAGCTATGCAACGGCGTGCTAAACATTTCGCTTAAGCGCGTGACAACAATACATGTAAATCAGTTGCTAGGCAATGCCCGCAACACACACACGGCCAACAATACTGGAGCAATGTTTTTTTTGTCTCCATGCAACTTGCGCATGCTCGGTGACAGCACACAACAACACATGTGACTTATGTTTTCTGTGTGGTCTGCACCACGCAACAGTAGAACTGTGTTTTCTATGTTGTCTGTACCGTGGCTATATGACGAGAGTCCACTTGCAGCTGAGATGAGTTTTAGTTGAGTTCCAAGGTTCCAGGGTGATTGAACAAGAAATGGTAAGAAGACTTCACAGTGATTTGGAGTGCTAGTTTCTGTGTTGAGATCCGTTGTCAGAAGACGACTAGTGGAGACGGAGAATCCTAATGCATATGTGTGTATGTAATGGTGAGCTGTAAATTGTGGACATCAATGGTAATGCTGTATTAATTGTAATTAAGAGAGATGGTAACCAAAGTGCTAATAAATCCAAACATTGTATTGGATTCATCAGCAGTGGTTACAATCATAAATATGTGACAACTGGTGTATGAAGTAAATGGATCGGTGCATTTGAAATACTTGATTTGAGATTGCACTGTGTAGTTATATCACCACATCATGGAACAAAAGAGGTGATAAATAAGGGAAATGCTTGCCATAAGGGAGGCTGTCATAAACAGAGGAGAAATAGAAGAGGCAGATGCCTACTATGCAAAGTTGGAACCATTGTGGGCCCGCCTGCTAGAGGAAAGAGACGCCAAGTACAGGAAACTGTTTGCCAACTTAGAGGCAGACACTGAGTGAGAAAAAAGGAAGGCACAAATGGAAGCCCTTAATGAAATGATGGAGAGAAGGGAGGCTGAAAGAAAGGCCTATGACGAGTAGGTGATTTCCAAGAGGAAAGCCGACTGAGAAGGCGAGTGGCAAGGCTGGAAGCCATTCACGGCAAGACAGATGCCAACCAGATGAGATTGGAACCTGAAATGGAACATAAAGAGAAGATGGATGCCTGGATAGTGGATATGAAGGATGATCAAAAGGGGATGATGGACTCCCAAGAAGCGATGGAGAAGATGGAGTCAAATCCTGGAGAAAAGGAAGCTGTAGTGGAGCAGCATGAGATTCCTAAAGAAGAGGCTGCAGTTCGCTCCCTGAGGGCATGCTGGAAAGAGACAATGACCTGTCTGGAATGCGAGGAGTTAACCTCAATGGACATGGAATCTGAAGCTGGCATTGGAAGGTTTCCAACAAAAATGCTGCAATGGAAAATGACAAAGTGCTGCGTAAGTGGCACAGGGACTGGCATCTAGTTGCAGGGCGCTGCAGGAAGCCAGAGAAACTGACCCAAGGAGATTGTGAATCCTGGAGGAATTGGCTATCGCCTACAGGAATGTGTCCCACCATGCAAGAGGGACATCATCAGTAATAACTGGACCAGGGACAAGGTTGAGCAAGGAACCTGGAGAGTGTGGATGCTCAGGAAGAGATTAGGCGGCAGGCAGCCGCTCTCTCTGAGGAAGCCAATGGAACAGACATGGGGAAGTTGTGTATCCCTGAAGCAATTGGTAGCTGCTGGAATGACGATGACGCACCGTACAGAAGTGGCACAGCACAAGGAACATGGACTTCAGAGACAAGGCAAAGATGATACTGAACCAAGAATTCTGAAGGGACAAACGTTCAAGAAGAAATGCTGGAAGTGTCTGGAATGCAAAATTGGAATAAAGAACCCAGGCACAACGTGACAGCTGCATCTTGAGTTCGAGTGGACAGCAGAGGAGTTCGACAGGAAGGCTTTCGGATTGGAGTTCGTGAAGTGAGCAACTGGGATATCCAGTGGGTTGCTAAAATGAGGAATTGGACCTTGTAGAGGGGTCAGCCCCCTCCAGAGTGGAAAATTGAGGACTGAACATTGTGGGGGGGGTCTGTCCCCTCCAAACACGAAGAAAAACCTACTAGCAATGTTACGGTAAGAAGAGCCAGATATGTGAGAGACCGGCCACCACAGGAGTTATGGCCCACCATTGGAAAGAGTAGAATGAAGAAAACCTTTGGATGCTGGTGAGAACCTGGACTAACTGGAACCTTATAAGGGAACCTCTTGGGACAAGCTGGCCATAAGGAAGGAGCAGTGGTAGTGGCTGGAGAGAAGCCACCACAGGAGGAAAAGAAAAGAGAGCAACAGTAAGGAAGGCAAGACACCACGAGCAGGAACCCTCAGAAAAGAAACAATGTTGACACAGTGCTAAGCTATTTGGGATGAACAGCCTTAAGAGGGGAGTAATGTAATATGTAGAGCTAGGCAGTGGCACAATAAACGTCTCGCTTAAGCATGTGACAACAATACATGTAAATCAATTGCTAGGCAACGCCCGCAACACGCATGGCCAAAAATACTGGAACAGTATTTTCTTTGTGTCCGTCCTGCTTGCATGTGTTCAGTGATATCTCACAACAATACACATGCCTTGTATTTTCTGCATGGTGTTGAGTTCCGTTCCCAGGAGATGACTAGTGCAGGCAGAGAATCCTAGTGCGTGTGTCACAGTGAACTATAAATTGTGGAAATCAGTGATAGTGCTCTCCATATTTTGTAGATAGTTGGCTCACAGATGGTGGTGAGGTTATCAGCCTGACGTGCCAGTCGCCCTTTACCCCCAAGAAGATTCCTTGTACTCATTTCTATTAGAGAGTGGGTTGACCCTAGGGCCATAGTGGAGCTGGAAGGATCAGGTCAATTGAACAATCCAATGACATCATCGGGAATCGTACCCACAACCTTCCAGCTTATAGCATAATGCCTCAACTGACTATGCTACTGCGTGCCCCCTGATTTACTTTCCTTAATTTGTGTATTAGCTCCAAAAGGCTATATACTGCTATACACATACTAACATCCATGTCTTCTCAGTATCAAAATTGCATCTTAACTCTAGATTTGATTCATCTGTCTCCAGATTAATTCTTGTGGAAGAAGGTTTTGTTGTTTCAGTCATGAACCTTGGCTGACAAAGAAACACTGAGTTTTTTACAAGTTTGATCTGTGATAAATAAATAAATAAATAAAACACATATGACATTTCATATGTTAAATAGTATCTTTTGCTGCAAAATAATCAGTAAAAGCAAAATGGACTAATTTTTCTGAAATTTTATGATATTCTGTAACCTTGCAAAAGCACATCATCTGGAATCTATAGCAGTGAAGGTATTTTACTGCTAAAAAATGAGACTGGATAGTGTTAACTAACATTGAAGCTAGGAAAAGATCACAATGGACTTCTTTTCAGGAATTTTAGGGATCCGTAGCTGCCTCGCAAGCTTGGAATCTCTTGAGTCTGAACTAGTGCCATCATTAACAGCTTATTATTTGGATCATGGCCGAACACCTCATAGAAATCACCTTAAGATCTTGTCTGATCACTGGCAGTCAGAAGTCCTTAAGCTGGAGGAGCTCATAGATGGTATTGTGGATCCAGCAGCCTTCTGTCAGGTATGTGACCTTTGCATTATGGAAATAAGAGGAGAGTGAACTCTGGAAATGCACACCAACCTTCAGTTCAGAGTCAGTACATTGTTGTTGTATTTTCTATATATCCTACTTTTTCATTCACCCTGCTGTCTTGAAGAAGCAATGTGCTCCATTTTCTAAGGAAAAAAATGTTATGCCAATGTATTGAATTAAAAAAAAAACAAATATTCATGTTGAGTATAAGTGTAAATGTTAAACAGCATCTTCAAATCTCAATCCAGTCCCCTTTGTTTATTTCTGTTACAGCATTATACTTTCCAGAATCTGACATACTGAAGCTGGAAGACCTCCCCACAATTCAGTTTGTGTCTTGCACAAAACCTCACTATCCACCCCCAACTTACATTGACACCTTGGGTTCCATGTTCTTTTGTAAATGCAGAAGCCTTTATGTGGTGTGTTTCAGTTGAAATTGCACATCCATGCTGCTGCTTCTTGTGTTTTGATACATGAAACCAGTCACACAATCATGAGGCAGAGCACAGAACATTGGAAATACACACAGCAGAAACAACAGAAACACATATTTTGTCATATATTCAGTTTCTGACTGCTTTGAACACAGAATGGCCAACTTATTTGGTTACTAAATAATACAGCCTCTTGTCTGTTAAAATTATTTATTATTACTTTGATTGTGAACACAATATGAATGGCTGCAAAATGGAAAGAGAAAGTGTTATAACAAATATACTTTCATAGGTGGATTCGTGTCACTTTATTTTATTTGGTCACCACAATAAGAAATATGAATACACCATACATTTGTCATTTTTTACAATATGTTTCAGCTCATTGACCCATCTTCAGGTATTTGACTTCTTTACATAAACCTGTATTTGTCTGCTAGTATTCCTACATTTCACACACAATATGATGCTATAATATAATATTTATGTCACTTAAGTTCTCAATGCCTCATTTAGAGCTGAAGATATAGTGAGCACATCAGAATTGGTTCTCATATGAAAGCTATTGAAATCAGACTGCACACATTTGACATTGCTCTTACAAAACCATGACCTTCTACACAGGAACTCTTAGTGGGTTAAGTAAGCATGAAACTCTTTAATATCCTCTGAATTTTGGAATTATTCAGCTCTTGGTGGAACAGACATTTGTTTACATTTATTTGTACAGATGGAGCACAATCACTTGACACCCTAGGGCTCCAGGGGAATAGTTTATATGCTTATGAAATGAATTATTTCATGTACTGAAATATGTATACTTTAGTATTAACAAAACTGAATCTGATGAAACATACGAAACTTGTGACAGTCTGTGAAAAAACAAGTACCTTTCTGGTATGTTCAATGATGTATGTAATTTCTGTCTAACTGAACCCTTGAACAGTGATAATTATTAGTAACAACTGGTAATTATTCATAATTACCAGTAAAATATTATTATTGTTGCAAGATTTATTGCGATTGTGACTGTTTTGGTAATTATTTATAATTTTCTGTTATTATTCATGATTACCAATTATTTAGTTTCACCATAACATATGTACATTGTCCTCTAATGGAAGGAAATTTCTGTAATGAATTTTCAAAACTGTCTGGGACCAGCACTACTCCAGGGTGGCAAGTAGCATATAAGGTGTGTGCACAAAAGCACCTGCATTACAGTTACTCCAATAGCAAGTAAATCTTGAAATGAACTAGAAAGCTGTTGTTTTACCTATGTATTTAGATCTTATGGGTGTAAGATATCTCACAGAAATTTTATACTTGCCTTGGCCGGGGACCTAAAGGGAAAGGGTGAATGATGCCTCAATATCAGCCCACCCCTTCAGCCAGCCAACTGAACAGACTTGAATTATATCGCAGTGAACACTTCCCAGTACATAGAGAAAGAGTGCAATGTCAAGTGTTCTGTGCAGAACAAAATAGAGCAGAGTTTCAGTTTTTGAAGTGCAATACTGGGCTGTGTATTGAGCCTTTTTTCATACTTGTCACACAAAGTCACTTTTCTGAGTGTTTACACTCTTCACTGCAGAAAATGGGTGATACCATTGTAAAATCATTTTTACTACTTTATTTTGTTAATTCTTTTAACTACATATCTTCAGAAAAAAAATATGGTTGGTATTGTAAAATATATGGATGAGACCATGAGAATCACAGAGGAAAGTGTTGTGTTTTGTCTAATTTTGCGATAAACAAAGACCACCTATCTGGAGAGAGCAATAAAACTGTCACACATTCTACAGTTTCACAGTGCATTACAGCTTTTTATAACCTATGCAGTCTCTCAGACTCAATTAATTTTTCTTTTTAATAAAAATGAATCAATCTTGGAAGCTCATAGATAATATTAAACATAGTAAGTGACAGAAATCCCATTCCTTTGAATGTGTACCCTGAATCAGTACTTTGGATTATTATTATTATCATCGTCATCTCTTGTCACAGGTTTATTTCCTGGTATTCCTTTGCTTGGACCAGTGATGCACCTCACCACTCAGGCTTCAAGCTTCGCACTGTAGCACTTTCCGTAGTATGTGTGATGTTCCCAGGATAGCTGTTTTTTGCAGTGAATCTATGGAGTGTTTACCAGGAATTAGTTCCAAATGTTTCCTCAGCCCTCTGGTAACTGTACCCGTGGCTCCAATAATCACTGGTATCACAAAACATTTCACATTCCACATTCGCTGAATTTCGATACTTAAATTTTTGTATTTTAATTTCTTCTCTGCTTCTTTTTGTACTACATTCCTGTCCGATGGTACTGATACGTCTATAAGTATGCACGTTTTCTTTTGTTTGTTTTTAATTATTATGTCTGGCCTGTTTGCCAGAACCTCTCTGTCTGTTTGTATGCCTTGATTCCATAACACCGTTATATCCTCATGTTCACATACTGACTTAGGCACGTGTGAGTACCAGTTGTCTGATACTTCGATTCCAAATTCTTTACATATTGAGTAATGTAAATGCATGCAAACTTTATCATGCCTTACTATATATTCGTTCTTCGCCAGAACGGGACATCCTGATGTTAAATGGTCTATAGTTTCTTCGTATTCTTTACACAGTCGACATTTACTTCCGATCTCTTCTTTCAGTATTTTCTTCTTAAAATAGTTTGTACTGATTGCTTGGTCCTGAGCTGCTACGATTAAGCTTTCTGTTTCCCCTTTAATGCTTCCAAATTT